GGGGGGGATCTGAGATATGCTTGGGCGCGTGATCGGAGAGGCGATAGGCACGCGCGCCATGTGGATCGCGGGCACGACTCCCATATCGGGGCAAGCGCGGTCGCCTGGCTGGAGAAAATCCGGGGCTGGACCGCGACAAAAAAAAATTGTGCCCAGGCGCCCGGGCACAGGGCAACGCCTCCTGCGGTTGGCTCGCGGAGGGCCGGGCAGCGGGAAGGCAGCGGCGAGGCGGCGACGAGGAGGCAGCTTGGCCAGTTCCTCCCTGCGTCTCGGGAGGGGAGGGGAGGGGGCCCTCTCTTCCAAGAAGGCTGATCCCACTTCTCGATTGGGCGAGCCAGGCGAAGTTGCGATCGCACTCGGAGCGAGCGTAAGCGACAGGCGCCGTCAGAGCGCCTGTCAGCGGTCTGGCCATCCCAGCGGGCGGCAGCCAGCCATTGGTCCGGCAGCGGCAGCCCGCAGGATACTCGGTGACTAGCCAGCCAATGGGCGTCCGGGCGTCTGCCGCGCGACATGCGGATGACGTCCAGACGGCGACGTGAGACCAGTTGCCATACTCGGGAGGTGGCAACGGACGGTGCCCGGCACGGCGCGCGGTGACCCTGGGCATCCCGTCACACTAGTCACAGTGTGACCTATTTTCGCCACCCAATCAGGGCTGATGCCCACCGCGCTTGCGGTACGCCCGATAAATAATACAGCCTCTGTTCCCCCGTCTCCCGCCCATCCCCTCCTCCCTACGCCGCCTCTCCCCTCCGTCCGTCCCTTGGCCCCCGCCTCGACGTCGACTCCCGCCCTTCTGCCACACTCGCCTCTGTCGTCGCAGCCCCTGGGTCCCTTTCCCTTCCGTCTGAGACTGACACTTGTCCTTTGTCTCCGCTCCCATACGCCTCTATAAGGTCGTCTTCCTACTACACCGCCATCCTCCCACTTTTCCCAATGGATATCGCCTTCGACACCACCTGGTGTCCTGTCTGCAGCAGGCAAATCCTCCCCAAGCGCTACTACGTCCCCATCGTCCCGCCCTCGCAGGCCCCCGCCGTGCCTCCCAGTTCTCCCACTTCTGGTGAGTGTCCTTGTCCGCCACACATGTGCCAAGCGTCCTAACACCTCTCTCAGACTCAAACACCCAGGAGAACGCACAAGCAACGCGCTTTGTTCGCACCAAGACCGGCACCATCCGCGCCAGGGGCGGTGGCGGGCTCGTGCACGGCACAGGTCGTGTGCGGCCCAACGGCGCTATCAAGCGCAGTGACACCGTCAAGGAGCCTAAAAAGGCCACTTCCCCACCCCCTGCTGTCGACATGGAGCCCTCTCTAGTCCGACCCGCGGGTCAGGTCCGCCATCGCACCATCATCGACCAATCGCCCGTTCCCCTCTACTGCTCCGATGAGTGCCGCCTGGCGGATCTCCAATCCTCGTACGGCAGCATCTCTATCGACTACAACCCGGAACGGTGTATTTCCCCACCACTACCCCCGGTTCCGCACAACTCGTACTCAGACATCTCTGGCCCCGAGGAGAGCGATTCGGGAAGTGGCGCATCCTACGAGTCATGTTCCTCCATTGCTTCTTCTCCCGGCGTCAAGTCCCAGGCCCCGACGGGTCGCATACCCAAGGGGTACGCGGCTCTCGCGCGGCTGTACGACGATCTCCCCCCGCCGCCCCCTGCACCACCAGCCATGTGCCGTCCGACCAACGATTCGGACGTGTCTGTGAACGACTATCAATCTGGTGTGATGATGGCCGCTCGCCGCATCAAGGCAACGCTATGCCAAGAGCCGCCGAAGAAGGACATGTACGGCGCGACGCAAGTCAGGGAGCGCAAGCCCATCCCCGGCTGGACAGATGGCTCGCATGCGTGGCGCGCTAGTGTCTACAACCTCACCGCTCCCCACGACTTTACCAAGTCAGCAGACACGGAGCGTGCGAAGGATGCCTACAAAGGCTTCGCAGCAAGCTCTCACCGTTCACGCAGTGGCGTGTACTCGACGCTGAGCGACATCCCGCCTACTGTCGACACTACCCCTGCCTCCTCGTCCGCTGCGTCCCTGCCGACGGTAGCCATGGGTTCCCGCTCCCGCTCTGCCGCTGAGGAGCTGAGCAAGTATCCACTGTTTACGCGTCGTGCGGACTCCCGCAACTCCTTTACGGGTAGCTCGGCAATGGGACTCTCCACCTCACCCACTGGCTCCACACGCTCCCTGCCGGTGTCAACCGCCCCGAGACGCAAGGAGTTCTCGCTGGTGAAGCCCGGTGCAGAGGGTCGGTTACTCGTCCCTGACGTGAAGATGACGCGCACGCCGTCGAACCTTACCGTCTCGAGCGAGGCAAGCTCGAGCTGGGGTAGCGGCAATGTGAGCGGCTACTACGGTGGGGTGGGCCGGAAGCGGAGTCCGCTCAGCCGGCAGAACAGCGATGCGAGCATGGAGAGCGCAGACAGCGTGTCCACCGAGGAGCAGTGGCCGCAGCCGAGCAGCCAGGGACAGCAGAGTGAGTTATTTTCACTTGTGTGTGTTGTGGTCAACGCTGACGATCGTGTCTAGCGCGTGGTTGGAGTTATTCGGATGACACGATGACATTCCCCATCCTACAGCTTCCACGGAAGAAGGAGAAGCGGATGGTGCGAAGAATCGTGGACGGGGAGGAGCGGGACGTCGAGGAGGAGGTCGAAATTATCGAGCCTCTGAAGCGTCTGTTCCTCTTCCCTGCCGCGCAGGAGCGGCGCCGCTAAGCTGCTCTTGTCCTGTGTTTGTCCGTCCTACGCTGCATGCATTGCCTCGTCTGCCTCATCAACACATACCCTACAATTCGCTGATACCTCTCGACGACATACCCGTCCCACCCCGACGCAATTGACTTATTCACTTATCCCTCGCTGTCGCACGCTCTCGTCCTCATCTCGGTCCTACTCTACTCGCCGCGTCGTGCTGCTCACCGTCGTCCGGTCCCCGTATAGTGTCCCCGCTTATCCTATTATCCGCCTACGTCTCGCGGCACCACTGGCCGTGTTCAAAATGTCTATAGCAGTGTACCATATGTATGATATCGCATGGGCTCCCGGATTTTGTCGTTCGTTCCTCTCGTCGTCTTGTTATCGTGTACCAGTATGGCCTCTGCCGCGCATCTCGCCACCTATCCTACCTCATGGACTCCGGTTCATCTAACGCTGGGCTTTGACATTCGTGTACAGTAGTAGCATCCGCATTTTCTCGTTCGTTATGGGCTGTATGATTGCACGCATGGTTAATGGGACGCGCATCGCATCGTAACATCATGATTGCATTGGCTGCTCGCTCGACGTGCTGGACTCGTTGGACAAGTCTGTTGTATGTATGTATGTACTGGCTCGCACCTAGTTTAGTCTGCTGCCGTAGTTCATTATTACGTTACTTGCACTGTACTGGACAGCCCCGCGGGGCGACTGACTGGATTATGGAATCATAGTGGCAGCGTCTGCGTGCCATCGGGATGTCGACGAAGGCGAGCCGGACTGAATTGAATCATTGGCACGCTCGATTGCCGATGTTGCGCCGCGTCATGCACGCTGAGTGGGCGAGAGGTGGACCGCGTGATCGCATTTCATCTGCCCGATTTACGTACGGCGAGCTGGAGGCGGCGCTCGAGCCCGCGCTTGAGCTTGAGCCTGAGCATGAGCATGAGCCTGAGGTTGCGCCCACTGCACCCGCGAGGCGCCACCGCCGGCGACGGCCGCACCAGGCGCGCTCCGTCTGCGCTCCCCGCATTCTGTGTGTCATGATCCCTGCGAGCCGCACCGGCCCTCTACCTCTCTCTGTGAGTCTCTAGCTCTCTCTTTAGCTCTTTTCCACGGCACCCTGCGCGAGCGCCCGCGGCGCCCCCCATAGCGCGCAGTCTGCAGCTCGCAGGACGCCGCGCGCGCGCGACACCCGCCGGCCCCAGCGCCCCCCCGGACG